GGTGGAATGTCGAATGGATAAAGTGGGACCGGTTATTCGCTACATCTTTGATCAGAGACCATACAAAGGTCGGATTGTCTCGTGCGAAAGTACAGTTGATAAAATGACCTTGCAGGACACCAACTATTACACTGTTTTGGGGACTGGTAAAATGTGTGGTAACTACGTCTCTGACAAACTTGTGAAGGTCGTACGAGTACGAGGAAGTGAGGGTTCCGAATTGCCTTTAAATGCACTGATTTCTTCTCACCTTGCAGAATTAACGTTATGTAAGTTGGCGACGTTAATGCAGCAGCGTGATTTTAATTTACTCATATTGGCCATCGAGGACGATCTCATATCAAAAGCCCTTGAAGATCATTCCTCGTTTGCATTTTTAAGTGCGGCCTTTGTAAAAGCAATAATACCGAAACTCACGGAGCTGAAAATAACAGCAAATGCTCCGCCACACCGTTGTGCGTTGAGAGTGCGTCCACATGAGCGCCCCTTCAAGCCCTGTCTTTTAGAGTGCCTGGAAAAATTTAAAAAGAAGATTAATATAGAGTATCGGGTGCTGTACAAACCGGAGGCTCAAAACTTTCCGCTGGTGGACGGCTTTTTCTTTTCGGACTCAAATCCGAAGACGTTGGTTGGGCTGCGGATGACGACGGCGGGTGGGCACCACACGACAACCAGCACTGTGCGGCAGTTCACTGAGTGCCTGGCGGCATATTTTAATGGTTGGGAGGAATTTTCTGAAGGATTGTCGTGGGAGATGATTTATGTGCAGCACGCAGACAGCACGCCGATGATTGAATGGCAGGGATGTGATGTCGTCAATTCCAATAATGTGAGCCGCGCTGAAAACCGAGAGATTGTGGCGTTCTGGGAGGAGGAGGTGCGCCAGTACCAAGTGTCAATATCATCCAGAGACTTTAAATAAAAAGAAGAAGCTCCCCCAACTGTGGAAGAACAACAACAACAGGAAACAGATTAGGAAATGAAAAGTGAAAGAGACATTTTGATTTGTGGTAATTTTTTTTGAAAAAAAAATATATTCAGACACTTGTGTGTGTGCATGCGGTGCGGGTGCACCAGCCCCATGCGGCAGCACCGCACACAAATGCCAAAAATGTTCAACGCGAGTGATAACAGCAGTGACAGAAGAAAATTAGGGAGGGATTGGGGAAATTTATATTTCTGGTGAAAAACATATTTCGAGTTGTTTAATACATGTGAATGTTACTTTTTTTTATACGGCACCGGTGCACCATCCCCTTTGGGAGTAAGACGCACAGATGCCAAAAAATTACAACGCGATATTCCTTCACAACGACAGAAAAACAAATCAGGGATGCCAGGGGTGTTTTAATAAATGGTAAGAAAATATTGAAAGGATTTTATAGTAATGTGAATTCTTCTGTCTGTAGACAAGACGTGATAACAGAATTGCTCTGTTATTAAGGAATTACTGTCTTTAGCCGTATCGTAGTGTTAATACATTTTCCTTTTCATTCTATTTTTTTATAGGACCGATCATTAAGTGAAGCATCTTCAAGGGATGGACAAAGGGTAAGTTCTATTGAAGAAACAATGCACTCCGTGTGACCGCATGGAGTGAGGCATCGTGTCATGGATGGTTGAGGAATCGCTTCTGCGTGTGGCTGTTTGGGAGCTCACTTCGTGTGCGTTGTGTGCCGGAAGCGGGCTGTGGCCGTATCCCGTTGCCCGTGGGATTGAACTGGAGGCGGTGGCGGTGTGTCCCTTTTCCTCGCCCATTGTGGGTGAATGCGGGAGGTGCGCGCGTTTTTTTGTGGATGCTGTTTTGCGGTGTGTGTTGTGCTGCTTCTTGCTTTTCCCCTCTCACCCTTTTCTCCTGTGTTCCTGCGTGGAGTGGCTGCATGCTCACGGGCCATGTTGATTGTGAGTGCGTCGTGACGGCATCCATTCATCTCACTCCCTCTGTCTGTCTGTCTGTCATTCCCTGTTGGGTGTGGCGTGTTGCACCGCGCGAGGGCTGGCCCGCCCACACCGACGGCCCGCCGTGACTTGCCGCGATGGCCGGTGCGGAGTGGCGGTGCTCGCTGTCTCATCTCTTTACTTGGCTTGCTTTCCCTTTTCCCTCTACCTCTTGAACACAGACACGCTAGGAAAGAAAGCAAACAAGCGCTACTCGCCACTGTGAAATTTGAAGGCACTGAAAGAACCAACAGCACACACACAAATATTTATATGCTCTCACGTGTTGCTGCAGTGAAGGCACCCCGCACACACAACCGTCGCCGCGTGACCGGATCCAGCGGAAGGAGGAGGGAAGGAGGAGAGAGTGAGCGGCATAGGCCCAACATGTCCCGACATGTGTTTACTTCCACGGTGCTGCTACTCCTCTTCGTGATGATGTGCTGCGGCAGTGGAGCTGCGGCCGCATCGACGGGGGAGAATTAAGTGATTGCGCGGCTGCCGTGGGTGGCCTTTATTTTCGTTCCGGGACGAACGCATTTGGAACCGAAGGGTGGGACTGGTGCAAGTGGAAGGAGGGATTCGTTTGGATCGCTTGCTCTTGTGGGTGTTGGTGGAGTGACGGTTGTCTTTGATGGGGGTTACACGACGCTTAATGGTAGCGATGGGGCACCGAGTGGGCTTTCTCATGCTGATATTGTGGCGGGCTCCATCTTTTTTGCGTGGAGTTTGTCGTCTTTTTTGGTGGGTTTAATAATGGCCGGAATACACGCAACGTGTTGAGCACAGCGAATATAAAGGGTGGTGTAGACTCCGCGTCCAATCCCACGGCAATTGAGAGCGGCAATAGGGCGTTTCTTCGTGCGGGAAGTTAGCAAATGTTTGGTACGAATGGTGGGTTCAATTGGGCGTTGAGAGACCGTGATGTTCAACTGGTTGTGGGTGAATTCACGCAGCCCAATGACGGCAGACGGAGCGAGCTGATCCACTGGTGTGAACCCAAATTGCTGTGATCACAGATCATTCCCGGACTCACAAACGCGGCGCGAATGGATTGAGGGTTTTTTGTGGCTCAGGCGTTTTGAATGGCACGCTTGTGTCCCCGTGATTGCGTATAATGACGAAAAAGACGATTTCTCCATGATCATCGGTTCGACGGACGGCGGCAGCAGCTGAGTGCTTTCAATGGGCATTTTTCCTGCGGACTGCATTGACCTTCTCATTGCCGAGTGGGAGCAGGGACAACTTCTCGTGATTACTCATTGCTATGGGAGCCGGTACTGCAGAGTGCACGAGTCACGTGACAAGGGGACAATGTGGGTGGAGGTACCCGGGGCAATTGCGGGCGTATGGGCCAATTCACAATCGGTTCTTTGGGAAAAGAGCTTGCGTGTGGGAGCCATTGTCACTGCGACCGTTGGAGGAAGGAGCGTCATGCTGTAGGCTCGGGAAGTGAGCTCCCCGTGGTGGGAGAGTGAGGCCCATGCGCTCTACGTTTGGGTGACTGACAGCAACCGCGTGTTTTGTGTTGGACCGGCTTACATGGACACTGTTCTGAATAAGCCGATTGCCAACGCCCTGCTGTACTCGGATGGTGCGTTGCACCTTGTGGGAGCGAGGCACAATGAAGAGAAAAGCAGCCTGTTTCCTGCCCCCCTGACGGAGGAGCTGCAGATGATCACTTCCATTCCCCGTAATTGGGCGGACGTGGACGCTTCCTTCTCCGCGTCGCCCGTAAGTACTGTGGGTCTGGTTGGATACCTTTCCAACGCAGGCACTGCCAACACGTGGATCGACGAGTGCCGTTGCGTGATTGCAACGGTGACGAATGGCAAGAATGTCACAAATGGGCCTCAATTCGCAGGGCAACATTGCCCCGTGAACCGTTGGGAGGATAATAATCACTGTGGCTTTGTGAATTACGCGTTCTCTCTTGTGGCGACGGTGGCTATTTGCGAGACACACGTAGGCGTCAAGAGTATCCCTTTGATTGGCGCGAAGGGAGCAGGCCGCACTGTGCACTTTTGACTGTCGCACAGCCATGAAAGGAGTTGGGGATGTTCAACGCAAACAGACACACCGGCCTTTGGGAGTTGAACAAACAATAACGAGTGGTGCTCACGCTGCAGGACCACCAACAAGGCCTTCGTATAGATCAATGGTGTGTGTGTGTGTGGGATGCTGAAACGACATCATCCTCAGGAAAGGGGTCACGCACGAATTCACACTTTTACATTGGAGGGGATGGGAGCAGTGCGAGCGACACCGGGAGCCAAAAAAAGTATGTGACAGTGACGAGTGTCTTTTTGTACCACCGCATATTGACCCGGGAAGAAGCCGCAAAAGTTGGTGCCAGCAGCCTTGCTCTTCCAGAGTCTCTTTCTGGGAAAATGCTTGAAGGGCCGGATGATCCAGCGGGAACCGACAGTGGCTCCAAAGATGGAAACGCCTCTCAGCTCACGAACAACACTTTTTTGGAGAAGGGCTCTGGTGGCTACGGCACGGTGCGTGTGTGTGTGCCTCGGATCTTGTTGCTTCTCCTTCTGGGGCTCTGGGCATTGCAGCTCTCAGCTGTGTGAGACGGCGGGAGCGGAGCCGCGACTCCCCGTGGAAAAGGGTGTGCCGCTCCTCAGGAAGACTCAATGCACTCCGTTGAGGACTTTTTATTTATCCCTTTTTTTTCACCTCTGGATATAATGTGCTGCTGGTGCCTTGTTGGAGGGGTCAGAACCCCTGCCTTTTTACTATTTTTTAATTTATTTCTTGTTTGCCGCTAGCTGCACACTCTCATGAGTGACGTGCTTCCCCCTGTTTTATTTGCTTTTGTTGCGCCGCACGCGGTGCCGGCCTCATTGCTGTGCGTCCCACGGACTGTACAAAACGAGGGGTGGAGGAAGAGGCCGAGTGCCTCATGAAATGTGAGGGATTTCGTGTGGACACGTGGAACACTGCGATCATTTTTTTCCCTCTGTAAGAAACATATGGAGATGCACAATTCCTGCTGCGCTGAGGGATGCACGAAATGAAAGTCCACTGAGGCGATTTCTCTTTTTTTTCTTTATTATTATTTATTTCTGCTGAACCTACGCCTTTTTTCTCTCGTTTCTCTGTATTCGGCAATTCGCTGCGGCTTGTTTTATTATTTGCTGCGTTGAATGCCACTATGTGTCTTTTTGTCCCGCTGGGTGTCCCACTGCTAGCTGTGCAGTTGACACGCTCTCATCACTTTTTCTTTTCCGCTAGAAGCATCGATGGTCCGCGACGACGATCGTTTGTGTTCCCCCATTGCGATGGTGCGAGGGTGACTGGGCGCCGCCCTGTTGAGTGCGCTCGGAGGAGAGCGGATGGTGTGCGCCGTGCCTCACTGTGAGTGTGGGGCGCCACCGCCACGACCTGCTGTGAGGCGTAACGCTATTCCTTCGGGGCAGAGGTAAGTAAAGGACAGCGCCGTGGACTTGGATGCGCCTCGTTCCTCTTGTTGCGGCTGTGGGTGTGTGCTGTTCGCATTGCTGTTTTGCGGTACGATGTGGATGGCGGTGCTTCTGCGTGTGCCTTCTTGAATGCACTGTGCGGCGGGCTTCTCTTCTCCATGCCTTTGCCCTTTTGTGTGTGTGGGTGAGTGTGGGTGGCTGTCGACCTGCCCCGAGCATTGGGGTCCTCCACACACGTGAGGCTCATCTTGGCAGCCTCTCGCAGCGTCCATGCCTCGTGACAGAGAGCGAGGGAAGAGTGGCGTGTTTCCTCCTACTATAGACCCATCAATTCCGAGCAGTTGGAGTGAAGCTAAAGGGACAAGTGTGTGTGTCTTCACCTTCTTGCGGGAGGGCGCGCAGAGGTTGTTTTTCTTTTGTTAATCTGTTCGGTCACTGTACCTGTGTTGACGTTATTATTATTATTTTTTCCAGGGGCATTTATTGTGCGATTTGTGCGTGTTTGGTGTCCAACGTTTTCTGCACCGCCAAATGGGATGTTGCGCAGGATCGG